TATGTATGTATGTATGTATGTATGTATGTATGTATGTATGTATGTATCTATGTATGTATGTATATAGACGTATCCATCACCACGCGCACCAGACTTCACGAGTGAAACGTGACTGGTGTTGTACCAGGCACACAGGCCTAGATACTTAAAGATGGGTTCCCCATGCATGCAGTCGAAAGAGGCAACTAAATCGGAACAATCTTCCACGAACATAGATTGCAACCAGCTCCACATAAGTTCGCAAGAAACACCAGACACTCGTCACCAAACCATGGTATCGCACCATCAATGCTATCTTGTGGCAAGCTGCACCCGTCCGACTTCACCTTTGCAGTGTTGAAAGTGCCCGAAAATGCTTGTGCATTGTCACATCTTGGAATCAAAGGCCATGGCGTATCTTCTTGTAATAATCTAGGTATGTTGGGATCTGAATTAATCAAAACGCAAGGCCACTAGGCGACGATGCCAGCTTGACCTGGGGCTTCTTTCAGCGCTATGCGCCCACTCTGCAATTTCACCCTGAGAGGGTGTCCAGAATGTAGTGAGGATCGAAGTGTCAGGAGAAGCCTGCCCTTTCTCAAGGAAAATGCCAGCCCCACTCGGCCCCAAAATGTTGGAACGCAGAACACCGGTGCTGAATCCGGGGATGAACTCAGGCACTAATTCACACATGGCTTGGGTAACCGTACATTTTTGCATGCAGGACAATGAGGTGCGTAAATCACTTGTACGAGATCTTGGCTGAATCATCATGCGTCACCACCTCATATTGCCCCTCAATCTTGCTTGCTAGGTGTGGCAAATGAACCTGGTCTGACACAGGCAGCGGGACAGCAAGGTCATGTGTCCCAACCTGCTTCATGATCTTGGGGATGCATGCTTTTGTAGATTGTAGTCAAGGCAATCCCTCCTGTTCAAACCTAGCTGCAAGCTATGTGTCTTCTGCAAAGCTTGCAGAGAGCGAGCAAATGACGTACATTTTGACATTAGGTTTGGCAGCCACTTGCAGCCACTTGCAGCCACTTGCTCAGGCAGCCACTTGCAGCCACTTGTCACTTCAGCAAGTGGCTGCAAGTGGCTGCCTGAGCAAGTGTCTGCAAGTGACTGCAAGTGTCTGCCTGAGCAAGTGTCTGCAAGTGACTGTCCAGTGAACGACCGTCCACAACTCCACAACATGATCGCTTCATCACGGGAGGTCGCGTCACGTGAAGCTCACCCTCGAGTCGCCGCACGCGATGAATGTCGTTCGATTTGCCCCGTTGCTCTTCATTGTTTTTTTCCTGCAGCGCTTCCACCCTCTGTTGGCTCTGTCTCGCAGGAAAGACAGGGCACAGCTTTGTGTCCGCATTTTACGGCTGGATGTTTCTCAGGCCCTGCATTCGTGCGATGGCGCCTAAAGGAGCACAGCTCACTCCTTCAGGAGGCTCTCGCCCTTCAGTACATTGGCGTCAATTGAAGCCCTCGGCTCTCGCCTGTTCAAAAGCATGTTGATTACACATGGCCAGCAATATCTGGCCTCTACAGAACCAAATCACTGCTTCATCCCGCTTGCACGATACGCGCGCAGGTGCACTGCGTGGTGGACCCTGCCCGCTGTGAGCGCGCTGGCGCGCACCATCAATACAGTGAAGCCATACCTCAGTGAGAAGAGCGTGGACCAGTTGGAGGTTTGTCGAAGACCCATTGCCCCACCCGTGCCTCAAACCTGCTTTTTATGGTTGGTGCAGGTCAACAGGCCAGATACATGTGGCACATTCGTTGCATAGCTTGAGGTGTGGCCAAACCCGTGAGACCTTTTTGTTCCCACGCAAAAGAAAATCCATCTCAAACGGCTTGTGTGTTTCCCTTTTTGAGGGATCTACTATATAAGTGTTATATCCTTACTATGCAGTCAAAGGGTTCAAGAAGTGGGCAAACACTTGCCTTCATGAAGGTATACTTGAAGTGTGTCCCTCATATGCTTTAAGGGCTAAAGCTAAACGCTCAAACCATCAATCCATATCAATATGAATTGAAGTGGTGGAGGACTGCCTGGATTCATTTGATCTGTCATTTATATTATTGTAGTCTTGAGGATACGAAACTCACCTGCAACCAGGATCCCAATGTGAAAAGCCAAGCCACACAGGATCCTTTCTATTCGCACGGCTTCAGTATGTCTGGACATCGATTTCGGGGAAGGTGCAATATCCAAGACATTTTACTGGTTGTTGAACATAGAAAGTAATGTAGACTCTTGATTAAAACCACTCCCCCACTTGACTTGGAACCTCTTCATATGGGGGGGAGTTATGCACCTCAAGAGTCTACTTTAAACATCCATCTTGCCACTTTTCCTGCACTCCAATCGTGCGATCATAGCACAGGTTCTCCTGTGAGAGGTCAAGGGACATAGCTCCCAGAGACGGCAACAGGCGAGCGGCTTCACCAAAGGCAGCCCACAAAGTCCTGTGGTTTTATGCGAAGAAGTCGGCATTTGAGTCGAAGAACTGGGGGGGAAAAAGAAAGTGACCTGAGTTGGCGGGCGATTTGGCCATGTGGGCAGAACTACTATGGAAGTGGGATGATGAGGCTCAGGGTTGTTCAAAGTATTCATAAATCTTCTGTGGGTTCAGGATGATTCACGATGCAGAAACTCGGAAATGTGTGGAACGCGTTGAACCACGGACCCCTTACTCGTACGACCTACGTGCGTTCTTCGTATTTTTTAACATGGACGAGTCCTGAGTGTTTTGAAGGCGTCGCTGCTCTCGAGCTCGTCGTGCTTCTTGGCTGCGCACTTCTACCCCACCTGACCGTTTTGAGACAAAGCGGCAAAGCCTAGTGGATGAACTGGTTTCAGGAGGTACTGGACGCACATCTCATGACACATGAACATGGGCGTGATATAAAGCAAGATGGCCTTCCCGGGGTAGGTTGGAGGCCACTACTGCAAGTAACAAGGACGCCATTCGGTTAGAGACCATCGCTACTAGTAACAAGAAGCTACTAGTAGCTATATAGAAGCACCATCTTGAAATGTCTTCGCGCCAGCTTTCTCAAGTGACACGGCACTTGGTTCCAGTGAGCTGCCAAAACGGTGGATCCAGCTTGGGCGTTTTCAGCCACCCGGTTTTGGAACGACTGTTGAGACACGTCTCGGAAACGCTGGGTTACGGAGGGTGCTTTTGGTGGTGCAAAGAGTCTACTTTTCTCGAAAGTAGGACCAGGAACATCCATCAATACTCAATATCTGAACTATCAAATTGCTAGAGCCTACCCAGTGTGACACACTGTTCCCCCGAGGTAAGTCAAGAGCTCATCACATGAGACTCTTCCCTGAACATGTCGGTAAATTCAATGACTACCAGATTAAACTGATTGACTTCGTGTTTTTTAAACTTGAGAGGCCTCGCATGGATGTAGATGGCGCAAATTCTGGTCGACCATTTAAGCCATGTTCGAACCCAAATCCTCCAAAACAATCCCAAAACATCGGGGTGGACGTTGCGACTTTTGGAAACTAAAACCACAACATCAGTTCCGCCCTGCAGCTTCGCATGACCTCGCGGCCCACGAGCACAAAGTGACATGGGAAAACCCCACCGACACCAGGCCCTCCCACGTCACTTTTGGATTCGTCCAGTCCGTGGA